GCTGTATTTAGCTCAGAATATTCGTTTCTCAGTGATGATCTGACGGCTGGCGCTGTGGTGTTCTGTGTATCTGCAGGCTTGCGCGTACTCCGTGGTCCGTTACTAAGCAGCGTATCAAGGGAAATCATGGTGAAGCTCTCGTTGCCAACTGTGTCGTCTCGCATCCTCATAGTCCCCTCGTCAAAAGCAGCATCTGCGGTATCTCGATCGTCGGATTCGAAGGCTTGAGCCTGATCATCTTCGGCATCGCTCGCATGGGCAGAGCTTTCGCTGGGTGTCGGGAGGCTGGCATGGCCGTCTTCCGAGAAATCGAGATCCTCGGGCTGTATAGGCTCTGCGTCGTCTCCACTGGTCGGCGTAAGCACATCGCTTCCCTCCTCTTCGTGCTCGTCGGACTCCATCAGTACCACTTTATTCGCGTGTGGGGTACCCTTGCGTGTTCGCAAATCCTGCCTCATGCTCCTCTGTATCGGTGAGCTCAAGTTGGGCAATTCCTCAGCCTCCATCAGCGCATCGCTCATGGTCTCGGTAGTGGGGCCGGGGAGATCTGCGAAATGCGCGCTCTTTTTTGAGACTCCGGACTTTGAACTCGAAGGAAGCACAGGCGTAGTATCTTGCACCGACCCTTCTCGTGTCCCTGAATCCTCGGCCACAGCGACGACCTTCCTGGGCCGGCCTCTCCGCTTCTTTGGCGGCACATCGGTGTCCACATCGGCTGCGCTTGACTCTCCACCCTTCATATTTAACTCGCGTGATCCGGATCGTGCGCGCCTCTTGACTGGTGTTCCCTTTCGCTTTGGTTTAGGAGTGGCTCCCACGTCAGACTTTCGGGGGCGTCCGCGGGGGCGTTTGACAGGAGACGAAGTATCGTGATCCTTCAATGGCACCGTCGTCGTCTTCGTTCTCGTGGTTACTCGCTTCACGGACGGGGATGGGTCGACGTTGTCGCTTCCGGGTTCAGCCTGAACGGTGACCTTGATGCGCCAGGGGCTCGCACCACCGCCGCGTGGTGTGCTCATGATCATCGACTTGGTGGGCGAGGAGAACATCATCTCCGAGGCCTCGAGTCTGCGGTTCTGCTTGGTCGGTGAGCTGCCCGCCATCGAGTCACGCGGCCTGGGCTTGCGGGCGGACGTGATGGTGTTGTCGAAGGAGAGGGCCAGCGGATCCGGGCTCGAGTCGTAGCTGCGATCGCTGTGGGCATCGTCGCCTGCCGTTGCGCTTCGGCCGCGGGGCGCCATGTCTTAGAAGGGTCGGAGGGGTGTCTTGGTTGTTAGTGCGAGAGGAATGCATGTGGGTGGGGAACAAACGTGCGGCATCCGTCAGAATGCGGGACGGGCCACGCGCTGTCGCCCTAGCAACTATCTTATCACGCGCTGCTACGCGCGACACCACCAACAAGGCAGCCGGCGAGACGACCGAGTGCAGACTATGGAGGCGCGATGGGTATTCATGGGTGAGTTGTGCAGTCTTTCTGTTCGCTTTCTATACTGATTCGCGCAGTATCTACAAGGAGATCGGCCCTGGAAAGCGCGTAGCCCTGTCAAAGCTCGCTGTCGAAAAGTTCGAAGAGACCGGACGGCCTCTGCGCATTGCTATCGACACATCAATATGGCTTTTCCAGATACAAGCTAGCAAAGGTAGAGCTTTGGCATCACGTACATGCTTGCGCTGTGCTGACTGTGAACAGGCGGCACCAACCCGGCGTTGCGCACCTTCTATTATCGCCTCCTTCGCCTCATCTCGCTCGCGATTCACCCCGTCTTCGTCTTCGATGGACCAAACAAGCCGCCCTTCAAGCGCAACAAACGCACCGGCCCCAACGTCGCCTCTATCCCCGAATTTCTCGCAAAGCAGTTGTTAAAGCAATTTGGATATCCGATACATCTTGCGCCTGGTGAAGCTGAGGCGGAGTGCGCGCTACTCCAGCGAGAGGGAATAGTGGATGCGGTTTTGAGTGAAGATGTCGACACGCTCATGTTTGGAAGTGGCATCACGATACGCAACTGGTCACCGGAGAAGACGGGAAAGACGCCAACACACGTCAACGTATACGATGCGGTTGAAACAAAGAACGGGCCGTCGGGGCTGGATCGCGAGGGCATGATATTGGTCGCGCTGATGAGTGGAGGAGATTACGTCCCTGAGGGTATACCTGGATGCGGCCCAAAGACAGCATGCGAGGCTGCGAAGGCAGGCTTTGGCGCCGATTTGTGCAAGATCCCGAAGAACGATGCCAGAGCCATGTCCCAGTGGCGAGAAAGACTGCAGCACGAGCTGAAGACGAACGAGAGCAAGCACTTCAAACGGAAACACGGTGCACTGAAGATCCCAGACGACTTTCCGCGTTTGGACATCCTTGGATACTACACACACCCAGCCATTTCGAATCAAGCTGGATTGGATAAACTGCGGCGATCGATCAAGTGGGATCAGGAGCTGGATTTCTCGGGCTTACGCGAGTTTACACACGATGCGTTCGACTGGGTCAAGCTTGAAGGCGCAAAGCACTTCATCCGCAGTTTAGCGCCTTCGATGGTTGTGCGCCAGCTACGTATACGCGCTGGAAACCTCGATCGATTACCTACGAACAACATCCAGGCGGTACAAGAGGACGAAGCTCTTCTCATCAAAGGCTTACACGGCAAGCGACAACATTCCGTCACAGACAACTGTACAGAACTGCGAGTAAGCTTCACGCCCATAGAGCTTGTCAAGATCGATCTTAGTCAGGAGGATCCGGACGACGATGTGGAAGTACCACCTAGTTCTCAGCAAGCCGGCGGTGATGCAGAACTCGATGATGAAGATCTGGAAGATGAAGGCCCTAAGAAGCGTGGACCTACGAAGTTTGACCCAGAGAAAGCTGCGAGAATCTGGGTGATGGAGACTTTCGTCAAGGTTGGTGTGCCGCTCATGGTTGAAGATTGGGAAGCCGGGCGACAGACGAAACTGAAGCCTAAGCGAGCAGTAACTGCGCAAGAGCCTGGCAAAGCTGCACCAAAGGCCAAGGCTGCTCCCAGGCGGACGAAAACAGCCGGCGATCAACCGCAGGCCCGCATCGAAACCTTCGCCAAGGTAACGAAACCGGGCTCAAAGCTCTCGCGAGCTCTCGCAAAGACACAGGACAAGGTCGCTGAGGTCCCTGGACCTATCCCACAGTCTGCGCTACAACAAGACGATGTAATTGACCTTCTCTCTTCCTCGCCAGTAAGGATTCGGGATATTGTACAGCCGCCACCACCTGAACGCGAGAAGTCGGTGTCTCCCCCTATTGCAGATCTGCCTCCAAGTGTGAGCAAGCGGAGAAGACGAGCCCCGATTCAACGCTCCAAAACACTTCCTGCTGACGTCAATGCGGTTCCTGAACGACCATCGACGCCTCCTCTTCTGAACACGATAGAGACATTAGACTTGGTAGATTCGCCTGCCCATCCCTCACCCTCACAATTACCCGCGAAGAAGGCGAGAACACGAAGGACTAAGGACGGACCAGCTACGACAGCGTCTCGTGATACTTCTCTAGCCTTGTCTCCTAGCAAGTCAAAGCAGTCGACGTTAGATGCATGGCGAGCATCAGTGACGCCGACCAAGCGACGGGGTGTGACTCCAGCACTCAATGCAGCGCCACCACCCCAACTTCGCTCCTTGTCAGAAGAAGTTGACTCGCTGGACTTGACGCTTTCCTCGCCGGTACGGGAAACGCGACATCAACATAGCGCCAGTACTAGCGCACTACCAACTTCGAAGACAGATACGACACGCCCGCCATTAACATCGATTTCATCGAACGCATCACATACATCTACAAACTCGGCATCATCAACAGCTTCCACATCCAACAAGAAGAAGAGTATAAGAGACGTATTTGGCCCATCTCGACCTCGCCGCACTTCACCTCGTCTCAGCAAAACCATGTCCGCGCCTCCTGATGTCGACTCCCTCGATCTCACATCACCACAGCTTGTTGCAGCAAAACCAAGATCAGAATCACCAACGGCTGATACTCTTGACCTCACATCACCAGAACCCATCGCAATGAGAGCACGATCCGCATCACCAAATGTCGAAACGCTTGACCTTACAGAACTGTCATCTCCCGTAGTTGAGCACGCCCCAGCACCGACAGCACCTGACCCTGTATCCCCTCCACCAACCTCGACCTCACCCTCGTCCATCCGCCGCTCACCACGCGATCACAAATCCCCATCACCACAGCCGCCCTCTCGCACCTCCCCGCCAGCAGCATGGAAAGCGCGAGAGAAGAAGAAACGCGCAATTGTCCTGCGGAAGAGTGTAGTAGGCGCATGGACTTATGTAGATGTCGATAGTCCGGAGAAGACAAGAGATGTTGAAGCAAGACTTGTGCTCAAGGGCAAGGAGAGACGGAAGTGGCGCGAGAGTGCTGTTGAGATGTTGGATCTGACATAAACTCGGCTGGTTGTGTCTTAGGGTGGAAGGTCGTCGTTCGGTCCTTCTTGATGTAGGTTCTGGGGTGCGCGACTTGATGATGACGATGGATACGAAGCGCGGAGTTTATTGAATGTACTACGTTGAATGACTATCCTTTCTTTTCCACAATCGTGCAGCTGCTACATCACCTGTATCCATGAATGATCCACATTAACAACAACATGCGACACGGACAAGCACACACATATCCTCCGTATCCCTAGGACGTTGAACCCCTGCAGTTAATCCTAGACTCTGCGCGCGTTCACACCAAAACCTGCTCCCCACCCCAGCCTCACTCCCAATCCAGCCCATGACGTCATACACCCAAACCTTCACCACCAAGGCACGCGGCCATGCATACAAAGCATGCGTACCACTTTCATCCGCGGAGACTCATTCGTAACCAACCTCCTTGATTCCTCTTTCTCAAATTTTCAGTAAAACTGCACGTCTTGATTTGCAAGCCACGATACCCGTTACACGCACCAATACCACATCCACGTTCTAGCAACAACTGAAGAAGACAGTGCGGGTAGTCTCTCAAGATGACACAAGCGGTATCCAAACAAGACACTTCGTCCCAACAAGTTCAACAGCAGCGTCAGGGCGCAGGCAGCAGAGAAGTGCAGGAACATCATGCTAGTGCGAATGCTTCTGTATGTTCTCCATGTCCATTCATATATCCATTCCCTTTCCATTTCCCTCATTCCATATCACACGAAATCACCTATAGTACTGTTCAATATACTGCCACTAGTGGATGAGTAGATGGGTATACGTGCAGTATGGATCGTATTATAAACATGTGCTAACAGAGCGTAAAAGGCCGGTCTAAACCTCAACCTCTTCGGCGCCCTCTCCGGCGCCTTCTCTTCCAAGCAGAAGAAAACTACGCATCAGAATGCTGATGGGTCGAGTACGACTACTGAAGACAAGCACGATAAAGGTAAGCACCCATCCATCCTATCCTATCCCACCAATCAAATCTCCCAATATACCCAGCGGATCCTTCACTCAACCCCTCTTTGATGACCTCGTTATTTGCCTCCAGTCTTACTAATCGGTTTTATGTAGGCACCGCGAGCGCAGCAGCCGGCGGCAGAGGAAGTGCATACGCAGCGGGGAATGCACAGCAGAGTAGTTTGAAAGCGAAGGAGAGTGGGACGACGCAGGAACAGAAGCAGGGGAAGAAAGTGGAAAAGGTTGATCATTTGGGGATCGAGGGATAGTGGGGTTGATACCATTACCACTTGGAGGATATGATGTTACTGAATATGAAATGACTATGACTACACTAGGCTATCCAGAACGCGTTGATACTAGGCGTGACAACATTGCGAAAACTAATACAATGGTAGATCCATCTCTTCATAAAGGATTCCCGAAAACCAACAACGCCGTGATCAACCCAATATCTCGAAATCCATCCTGAACACCTTTAAACAGAAACTACATAAGCAAAACACCTCTCAAGCCGCCCCACCAATCCGACTCAACCCCTCAACCCCCCTCTTAGCAGCAACAACATGCCAAGGCACCGTCCCATTCCGCGTGCCCCTCATCCCCCTCAACTTCGCCAAAACACCCAACGCCCTAAACTGCCCCAGCACCTCCTTCAACAACCCCTCAGCCGTCGTCCTCGTCTGCGGCGTAGGCGTCCACATAAGACTCGTCGTACTCCTTTGAGCAGGATCCTGCCCTGGACCCGGACTCTGAGGCGTACCCGGATTACTAGCGTATGGATTAGGCAGGCCAGCACCGCCTGGACTGGGAAGGTCAGAAGAGGCGGAACTACTACCACTGCTGGTGCTGGTGCTGGAAGAGGGTGGGAAGGGGGAGGAAGCAGCGCGGGTGGAGCCTACGGCGCCGATCCAGAGGAAGTTTACGGCTATGACGATGGGACCGGATTCTGGGTCGGGGATGGGGTGTGAGATGCTATTGGTTGTTTGGGGGGTTTCGCCGCGTTTGACGAGGAGGCCTGAGATTAGGGCGGGGCTGAATTGCGTTGTCGAGTGGGTGTTGTGGAGGCGGTGGGCGAGGATTACGCCCCAGGTTTCGTCTGTCACGTCGACTAATCTGGCTTCTGGATCCGCTGTTGGGTCTGTGGCGGAGGGGTCGGCCGAGGGTGTTGCAGCGGGTGTTAGACCTGGTCCTGGATCGGACGGGGAGACGCCGGCTTGGGAGGTGGAGTCTGGAGGGCTTGCGCCGCCGCCGGTGGTTGTGCTTGGGGCAGCCATCGTAGGTATGAACTTGTACGGTGGATCTGCATCTACTGCTGTGAGTAATGTGACGAACACATTGATCTGTGTCGGACACGAGATCAAGTAGACCCATGTCTCCAATTCCTCTCTTTCCAGAACTCCGGCTTTGGCAATGCAAACACGCCAGTTGACTCGTCGTGATTGTAAGATCTCGATAGTCGTCTGCCAAATCTCTTTTGCGACCTCTCTGAACACGCGAGTGCCTAGATGATACGAGACAACGGCTTGAGACTTGCCACAGCTGTCGGTCCAAGCTGCTGTCACCCAAGTGCCATCGAGACTGATCGCGTACGCAAGGTGCATATAGGTATTCTCTCGGAGCAGATCCTGCGCTGGCTCGGGGATAAGCTTGAAGGGTATATTGCGTGGAAGCGTCTCCTCGAGATGGAAAGCAGGTGCCGCATATATGCTGAGAGATGTCTTGTCGCTATTAGGTGCACTCGGCGGGCATCGATCGTAAACCTCTCGAGCAAGACTGAAGTAAGTAGCCGGATCCAGGATAACGGGGGCGTCGAATGAAGCGATGTACTTGATAGGTATGACCTGGAGCACCAGATCCGGCTTCTGGGGCTGATCTGGACGTCCTGGTGTTCCTTGACCATACGCTTGGAAGAGCGCCCAGAAGGCCGAGCACAGTTCCCAGAGCGCAGACGGACCACCGAAAGGATCAATCATGTAAATGACGAATGCATCGATCTTTGAATCCTGTTGCTCCCGTATCTTCGCATGTTGTATGGCGAGAAGCTTACCGAGCTGGACGCAGGTCTCTCTAAGGAGCTTGAATGTCTCCGACGGTGTGATAGACGAGCTGGCCCTCACAGGCACAAGGCCCCCTTCAAACTCGACAACCGTCTCGACGCGAGAGTGTGAACCGAGCTTGCAGCTGTCGTAAGCAAGCTGAAGGTTGAGCAGGAAGTTCTCAAGGCATGGTCGAAGAGAATCGCTATGAGGGTATACGCAGAATGTAACGATATTCTTGGGAGGACTGATGGGTGATAATCCCAAAGGCTCCCAGAACGCTACTGCTGGTGGAAGCAAATCCCAATGCGTCTCCGCACGGCGTACCCTCAAGAAGGGTGCGTTGATCTGGTACATGTGGCTCCCGGTAACTGCCGGGCCATCACTCTTCCGTGCAGGTGGCCTCTGCTGCGCTTTTGCCAGGGCAGCATAGTCCTGGAAGACCTCGTGCACGCCCGCAAGTGTAGGTAGGTCACAATGCTCGGCTGCTGGGAAGAGCTCTTTGATGACAGCCTGCCAGCGCGTCTCTGCCATCTCATCACTTCCGGATTCTTTTTCGAAGGGTACATCCTCTCCCAACAGATCCAGAGTTGCAGACACAATCTGGTCTGTCACAATCTGTGTAATTGAGATGCTGTCTTTGGCACTCAAGGGCTTTTCTTCTGATACTTCGTAACTCATCTCAGGCTGAGAGGTGGGTGTGTCGGGCATTTGCGCTGGGTTTGTCTGTAGGGTAGGTAGACTGTAACGCGCGCCAGCTAAGTGTCGTTCCACTGGAGACGGGAAATGGACCAAAGACCAATCCCATAAGCTTGGCTCGAAATTGTTCAGGTTTGACTCATCAAGTTGAAGACCGTGCAAATCTTGCCAATCACCTCCTATTGAGTCAGCGAACGACGTCACCGAAAGCGGCGTGGCGTTGCCCTCGCTCTGTAATTTCCTCTTCGCAGGCATGACTAGGCCGCCTATGGTAGCTGTGGGCGTCGCTTCCACCTCCTCTTCTTCTCCAGAGTCTTCATCGGATTCGTCTGATGTCTCACTAGAGTCCGAGTCTTCGCTAGCTGCTCGAGCCAAAGATGCTATTTCTGGTATCTGATGCGTAGACGCGGCTCCTACAGTGATACGAAGCTTCGAAAGTAGGGGTATATCTCTCAGACCTTTTGTCTGGGTGACGGTGGCCCCAGCACCAGGACTGGGGCTGGAGATACTGTTACGGCCATGTTCTACAGAGTGATTTGTGCTGAACCGTCCATCCTGATACTTGGCGTCAGACATGCTCATTTTGCGACTGAAAGCCACCGGGCTGAAGTGTGTATCGTGTGGGGTATCCGTGGGTTGAGTCGATCGAGCACGCGATGTCTTCTTGTTTGGCGGAGATGGCTGTAGTGCCTTGGAAACAGCGCTCGGGCTTAGTGGTGGAGTTGGCTCCTTGGAGAATGACACTTTTGCTCTTGGTGTTGGGACGGCAGTTTTCTCCTCAAGCTGGTCGACGCTTTCGTCCGGCGGTTCTTCCACGACCATAGGCTGTTTGCCTTTGTCTTCTTTCTTCACGCCCACGGGAGGCTCGGAAGCCGTATCCAAGGCACTTTCGAGTGCAGCGAAAGGGTCAGATGTGTCTTCTTCGGTCTTGGGTTCGACAGCGACTTGAGACTCAGGCTTTCGTGATGCGTTTGCAGGTGCTACGCTCGTGTTTGGCAGCTGAGGTGCGTCCATCATGTCAATGTCGTTATCGTCCGGTCCGTCAAAGAAGTCGAAATCCGTGTCGTTGATGCCATCCCCTCCGTATCCATCTTCGTCCATATCGTCGCCGAAAAGATCATCGTTTCCACCAGAGGTGTTGAAGTTGTCTGGCGCAGGTGCGGCGGGTGACGTCAAAGGCGTCTGTTGATCTTCCATCTTGGTGTCGTCTTGTGGAGCGGAGAGATTGATGGCAGGGTTGCTGCCTCCGGGTGCTAGGATGACGTTGGAGACCGTGCCGGACACACTCGGTGTGTCGCTATGGGAGACTGCAGTTCCGGGAACAACCCCATCCGGAGGTGTGGGGTAGACACCACCTGCAGGATGCAGGTCCCCGTAGGCACCACGAGCGTTTACAGGTGATGACGCGACCATGTTCTGTTGTTCGTCCTTGAGACGGGCAGCGTCCTCTTCAGCCTTCTTCGCTTTTCGTCTCGCTTCAAGAATCTTGTCACGATCCGGCTTTCCTAGAAACCACTCCTGTGCGGCATCAAGTGGATCCTTGAAGCCCGTTGATTCTGGCGTCTCGTACCATCTCAGCATACTGTGGCCTCCAGCTGCCGCCACACCAGCCGGCTCCGCAGACTTCATCTCGTGTTCTTCTGATCCGTGGAAGAAGCATAGTGCTCTGGGCCAGAGAACGTCTCGATCCTGACTTGCTAAAGCCGGGCTCGAAACTAGAGGGTTATTAACTGAGGTCATGCGAATTCTAACCCATGAGCTTTTCTTCTCAAGGTCAGGCAAAGTAAAGCCCTTCCAGCCCAGCCAACGCTTGACACTCGACTTCCAGTTCTCAATGCTCTGCTCTAGGGTGGTGAGTCTAGTGCGTTTCCTATGACGGAGGCTTATTTCCTCTACGATGGAGTCAAGCGGATCTTCAAGGCTCGTTATTGTCGCAAGCAGGCCATTCGGAGCCACTCGGATACATCTTCCAACGAGAGACTGCTCTCCAGCTTGCGTTGACACGTCCTCGACGCAACGAATATCAGTCTTTTGGTCAGTGAAAGTCGATACGAGGAGCGTGCCTGAGCTGGCCCAATGTACATTGATGCTTGTAATGCGATGTACGCAGTCTGGTGGTTCAATCTCATCCTCGTCATCGTCTATCTGCTTGTAAGCCTTGGAAACAAACGTGCGGAAGTTCAAGGCAGTCACATTGCAATCTTTGACGATGTTGAACGAGATGAGAGCAATGACGGATGATGTGAAGAGCTCATAGACTGTGAAGCAATCGGGCGGCGCAGGGGCATCAGATGCCGAGGCCTGGCTGTTTCCCTGTGACGATCTCGCACTGCCAGCAGGCAGACCCCTTTGTGGTGCTGTTGCCGATGGGGAATTGTTCGAAGTCGCAGTCGTGTTGGGATTGCCCGGGCGCATGGGAGGGCGCGCTAGATCGATGGCCTTGGTGCATCCTGTCTGCTCGCCTAGCACGTGTCAGTCGTAATTTTGGGAAGGTGCGAGCGCGACATACTGTGCAGGCGATAGCCGTCGAGCTCTGGGAGGTCGACGTTCGGCTCTATCTTATCGACGGTCGTGGGCTTGAACAGCCACAGCCACGGTCGCGAGGCATCCTGCGCAACAAGGTGCAGGTCCTGTCGCAGCTCGGCTTCGACTGCGCGTATGTCGTCGGAAGCATTCCAGTCTCGCGTTCTCGAGGAGGTGGGGGTGGTGGTGCGGGTGATTGAGAAGGCGTGATATGCGACAGCCTCAAAGTCTCCCTGTATATTGTCAGCGTGCCGTCGCGTACAAAGAGTTTCCGACATACTATAGCTTGCGCATTCGTAGTACAGGTTTTGAGAAATTCCATTAGAGAGATGGCTCCTTGTTAAGGGACATTCAGGTGGTATGCGCGGCGTATTTTCACTCCCAAGACTGCGCTGTACACCTTTTCCATCAACTCCGCTGCGGTCCGCCCAGCGCGTCACGCGCGACAGTGTCTATCAAAGCGATGGAGGAGTGGTGTGGGCGGGGCGTCGAGGGTCGAGGGTCAGTGTATCGGCATGATCTAGACGCGTAGGAGAAGTGATCATGGCTCCGAACACGGGGAGAGAGCCGGATGCAGCGTTCGGCGCCTCCCGATTGCAACGACGTGGTACAGGGTGGGCAGTACAAGCACTTGAGGGACAGAGCGACTGGACCCGGCAGCGAAAAAGCAAGTGCATGCGATGTCAGCTACGCGGAAGAGGCAGACCAGTCGACGGCGGCTGGCTCGCGGTCGCTAGCCCACACATCCATGTCGCCCGGGTGCACGCCCGGAGTTGCGCTTAGTACTAATGGCTCCACTCTTTTTTCATCGCGAACTTCCAAACGTTCTCTGCTGCCGCTCTGTCGCAACCCACTACGCCACCATGAAGATTTCCTCAGGCGCCGTTCCGGTATACACCATCAGTGGCAGCGAGGCGCGCCCGCTGCCCGAGTGGCTTATTCGGAAAAGAAAGCGCAGCTTGAAGAACGACCCCGAATTCGCCAACCGCGTCGACCTGCTGCAAGATTTCGAGTTTGAGGAAGCCAGCCAGTGTGTCCGTGTGAGCGAAGATGGCGACTGGGTCATGAGCACGGGCACATATAAGCCTCAAATACACGTTCACTACCTGCCCCATTTGTCGCTGTCATTCGCAAGACACACCAACACTCTTGTACGCTCTTTCCGTTCTTACTATCCACCCGCAAGATATGCTAACTTTCGCAGAACCAAACTTTCCACCTCCTCTCCTCCGACGCCAAAAAGAGCGTACATCTCCAGCAAGATCGATGCATAGAATTCCACACCGGTGGAGGCCTCCACTATGCGAGTCGCATACCACGTTACGGTCGCGATCTTATCTACGACCGGAGATCAGCAGAGTGCCTGGTACCCGCGGTCGGTGTCAATGCTGACGGCATGGGCGAGGCCTTCAGATTGAACCTGGAAGTCGGGCGCTTCATGCGGAGTTACGAGATTGACGTGGGTGGTGACGATGTGACGACAGTAGGCGGCGGCGCTCTCCAGGGTGGCATTGGTGCGGGCGCAGTGAACACCGGTGCTATCGCCGAACATTCGCATGGTCTCCTCGCCTTCGGAACCTCTATCGGCACAGTTGAGTACTGGGACTCGCGATCAAGAAACAGAGTGGGCATTCTTTCGGCGCCTCCAGATGCGTTTGAGGGAAAGTCGGAAATCACAGCGGTGACCTTCCCGTCGTCGGGTCTGGAAGTTGCCGTGGGAGACTCTAACGGCATTGTACAACTCTATGATCTCCGATCACCAAAGCCACTTCTACGAAAAGACCAAGGATACGGCTACCCGATAAAGAACATCATCTACCTCGACGGCGCGCAAACCGCCGAGCCCAAGATTTTGACCGCAGACAAGAGGGTCATCAAGATCTGGGATCCCAAGGACGGTACACCATGGACCTCAGTGGAACCATCAGTAGACCTCAACCACGTCGAATGGGTGCCAAAGACTGGTATGCTCCTGACGGCAAATGAGGGCAGGCAACAACATTCCTTCTTCATTCCACAGCTCGGTCCAGCGCCAAGATGGTGCTCCTTCCTCGACAACATTGTCGAAGAAATGGCCGAAGACCCCAACGACCCCAACGCTTTCGGCAAGGGCGCATCTGGAGATGTATACGACAACTTCAAGTTCCTGACACACGAGCAGCTGAAGCAGCTATCATTGGACCACCTTGTCGGAACCACAAGTCTACTGCGACCCTACATGCACGGTTTCTTCGTCGCCCAGAAGCTGTACGAAGAAGCGCGCCTCATCTCGAACCCAGACCTCTGGCAAGAACAACGCGCCAAGAGCATCGCCGAGAAGATCAGCAAAGAGCGCGAGTCCCGAATCCGCGGCAACAAAAAAGTGGCCGTCAAAGTCAACCGAAAGCTCGCAGAAAAGATGCTGGAAAAGCAAGAAGAGCAAGCGCGCCGGCAAGCCAAACGCGTCCTCAAGCAAGGCGGCGACGACGACATGCTCGACGCCACCAGCACCGCACCCGCCGTCTCCGAACCCACCAAACCCGCCGACGGCGTCCTCAACGACCCTCGTTTCGCCAAAATGTTCGAAGACCCCGAATTCGAAATCGACGAGCAAACCCGCGAGTTCCAACAGCTCAATCCCAGCACCAAGATCCCCAAGGGCCTCACCGCCGCCGAGCAAGAAGACCTCGAATCAAGAAAAGGTTCTTCCGATTCAGACTCTTCAGACTCTGAAAAGGACGCCGTGCGTCCGGCGAAGAAACCACAACAGCAGAAGGAAAAACAAGACAACTCGCGTATTTCATCCAGTGCCTACCGCAAAGCAGGTCATCGCTCGCAGCGCGCTGGCCCCGAAATGGTTGTTTCGTCGTCGAACCAACGGAAATCGGGGTCGTCTGCGATGGCGAAAGACAAGACGTTTGGTTCGCGCGTGTCTAAGCTCAAGGATAGGAAACCGGCCAAGTCGGCGAGTAACACGACGGTCGTGGGTGAGCGGGAGATTACGTTTGCGCCGGAGAAGAAGCAGAGGAAGAGGCCCGAGCAGGAGGGGCAGAGGCATGATCGGAGGAAGGAGGGTGGGAGGAGGAATGCTAGTAACAATGTTTTTAGGAATATGTAGGGTTTGGAAAAGTAAATGGATTGGGTGGGAGGCATGGAAGATGGAGATGGAGATGGAGATGCATACTTGGGAGTTGAATGATACCCTTATCAAAGTGTAACACATGTGTTGGAGACGTGATAAGAACGGTAAAAATGTTCATGTGCTCTCTTCATTAACAAGAACACGCAAGAAGTAACTCTATCATCTGATAATTTCCATTTCAAGCTCATAAGTTACGCGGAGCGGGAAACGAGGAGCCCAGAGCAAAGAAATAATGCTAAATGTCTTCTTTTGCACATCTGTCAGGACACGTACGAAGTTTCGATTGAAGAAAGTTAAATCGATCTATTCCAATAGCTCGTCCGCAGCATGATGAAAGCTCGAAACGCAGCCTTCCCCAATATATGAAATATACGCCTCCATGCGATCAATACCACATGGCACCGCCTCTGTATAAATATACCCCAGTCCCATTGTCTTGTCCAAGCGGGACTTCCTCTCTCGCCTAGTCAGGCTCAGAAACCTCGTCGATCGTGGGTTCAATGTCGTTTTATTCCTTTCCTGGTGAAGATGAACAGTCTTACTCAGAAGACTGCTTGTTCATCATAGTGTAGGCAGCGAATGCAAGCGCACCACCAAGCAGGATGATAGCGTAGAGACCGACACCAGTGGATGCGCCGTCGGTGGTGGTAGCGGTTGTACCGGGTTGCGCGTAGCTCTTGGGCTTTGGGTCGCCCTCCTGTTTTTCACTCGTCAGTATTGTTGTTCTGTTTTGTGGATACGGAGAACGGGTTGTTTCGTTTCCGTGCATGGTGGGCGGAATCGTTCCGAAGAAGTTCCTTGACCCTCGGACCGGCATCTGGGCGCGGCATCTGGGGGCGCGGGATGCAGATGCGATGTGTCGGGGGGATTTGTTGCGTGTACGTGAAGGGAGGAAGTGGGAATCGGGTTATATGTGCGGGATTGAGGAGTGGAGGGTGTCGTACCTGACGCTTCAAGTTTCCAACAAGCAGCCCATCGAGAATCTCACGGGCTTCATCCGAGTGACCGACATCCTCAAAGGCTTCTGTTGAGTCCTGGCCTCCGACATCGAGAAGAACTTCCTCACCACCTCTGTACATGTGTTAGCAACCGTTGCTGTGACCATTGACCCGACACATGTGAAGGCGGGGCTTTTGGCCATAACAAGTATGAGTATGCGAATGCCGAGGTGTGCATTACGCGGCGGGCAGGACAGGGCAGCGAACGTACGGGTGCTCGTCTACGAAGCTCGATGCGTTGTAGACTTTGTCGTGGACGACGATGTATAGGTCCTTCTTGGTGTTGTGCTCCGAGACGTCGGAGTAGGTGAATTCCTTGTCGGCAGACATTGTGGTGGTGTAGCGGAAATTCGGGGTACGTGGTCTTAAGGCGGAAAACCGAGGTCGTATACTGCGTGCGTCGAGGCGGGGAGAGAATTGGACGGGAGACGGTTGCGTTGACGTGGAGGTGGTCAGATGGGAATGAACACGGCGGATAAGAAGTTGTGCACAGTTGTAGCGGGTTGATTAGCTAGCTTCTCCCGAGGTCGGTTTAGGCGTTGCAGAGGCGCTCGCGCTCAAAGTCAAATTGCTCTTCAGCCATTGGCTCAGGCGCTCACCGACCCAAGGCTTCCGAGCTCCGGCCACAACGGGTAAGAAGACCCTGTCGGCGGGGCTTGCGGTCTTTTTGAGTAGTCAATTCCGCTGGCAATGGGAATAGCACCTCATGCAAAGACTGAACGGGTGCTCTGTCGTCTGCATTAGTATAAAACTTGGAACGTACATATTCTCTAAGGCAATGTATACTTCGAGAAGGTAGGTTCAATTTTTCCCTCGTATGAAATGATAATCAGGATGGTTGTCAGAAAAGTCGCTTGCTATGCTATAATGCTATGATACTGTCTACACCTGCTCCGCCTCCCTGAATCACCATCCCGACCCCAAGACCTTGATCTTCATCCACTCGCTCGTTCCTATCCCAAGATTTAATCCGTTCAACGCCCACCATCTTCGCACGGCATCTCCCCGCGCTCCCTCAACACCATCCTCTAATGCTTCTTCGATATCACACGTCTTGTACTCCACCTTCAGGCCGCTGCGCTTCCACCATTCTAGCACGCCGGCATGGCCCATTTTGGTCGGTCCTACGAGAACCTGGTTGTCAAAAAGAATTTTCTCGCCGCGAAGGGTACGCCAGTAGTCTAAAATATGTGTGTGGCCATGTGTCGAGGCGATTTTGGCTATTGTATCTTCATGCGAAAAGGGAATGCCGGATTCAACCCAAAAGTGAATCGCGGGTAGGCAGCCTGACTGTGTTGCGTAGGTGATGGACTTGCCCACCTTGAGAGGTAAGTCGTCTTGGCGGGGTCTGCTAGGAGCTTGCTCGTCGATTGGTGATGAAGGTACCGAGGGGGCCGTCCTGTAACGGCTGTGCTCCTTCCACCACTTGAGTACGTGAATGTGGCCCTGCGAGCTAGCTTGCTCGAGCGCAGCTTCTGTGTACTTCAGTGAGAGGCCAGAGTTATACCACCAGTCAAGGGCCTGGACCGAGTTGGTGCGGCTCGCATTGTCAATGGCTTCCGCGGAGTACTCTTTGGTAAGGAAGGTAGGCGACGTCCGCCAGTACTCGAGAATCTCCGTTTTGCCAAACACAGAAGCCTTGTGAGGTAAAAAGGTGTGCCCAAATGTGCCCCAGAATAGCTCCTTGTGAAACTTTTCTAGATGCGCAAGAACGGGTACCATGGCAAAGCGCATGATGAGTTCGATGCATACCCGGGAGATGCGTGTGGGGTTCTCAGTGTCGAACACAGCCTTGATCTCCGAATAGGGATAGGTAAGAAGCGCCCATTCTATCTTCTGCATCTGCGTCTTGGGGCCTTCATCGCTAGCCGATTGTCGCCACTCTTTCGGTATGGGCAGATTCGTGTGGACATTCAATGTAGTCGCCAGCTCCCAGTCCTTGGTAAATTCCAGGATGATGGACCAGAGCTCTGGCGGCAGCCGAGACCCCTTGCTTCGCGTAGGTGTCAGTGTTGGGAGATGGGCAATAGGTAGTGCGATAGTGCGATCACCAACTGCCATCAAATCGATCTGGGTTTGTATAGATTCATTGAAAGCCTTGTGCCCTTCTACCCATGGGTGGTACTTGCGCCCGGAATGGTCGAAAGACCACAAGAACGGAGGGAGTACGCGGATCCAGTTCCACTTCCGCCGTATCTTGCTAATCTGCTTCCTCGACATGGGGTTCTCCCACATGAGCGTGGACATGCCCGGTATGAGCATTATCTTCTTTGACACATTCCAGCTGCGCAAGATCTTCAGATGCAGGTTTGTTGTGAATCCATGGAGCATACGGGCGAGATTCTCGGCGTCAAGCGGTGCGAGGACGAGCAAGTCGGCCCATGAGCAGTACTCTGCCACGTTGGTCTCCTGATAGTCGACATGTTGCCACTCGGGCGTCGTGTCGCTCTCGGGGTCATACGTGTACCAGACGGGCTCGAGCTGGGGCGGGACAGTCGTGTGCGTCGTGGTCGGGAAGTCCTTGCACGCGATGATCTTCAGAGAAACATGCTGGAGGCGATGCAGGCGCGCAACGATGGAGCAGCCAAAGCGGAAGGCCGAGGGGTCAGTGAGGGCGACGAGGACGTTTAGCGTTCGCGCGGGTGTTTGCGAGGACATTGAGGGGTGGCGTGTGGGAGTCTGTAGGTTGCGGTGAGTGCCTACACAGACATCGATTCACCGTTACGTTAGACCGCGATTGGCCGCTGCCCCACGTTGCTGTCAGTAGCTGCCGCCAAGCCCAGGCAGTGTCAGGCACGAAGGGTGCATGGACGTTTGGGGGACATAAGCCATTGATGCCATACTGTCGCGAACGGTGGTGACGGCCGTATTCAAAGGCCCGACCTCGTTACATGTACGCGTCAAACATGAAGTGATTCCATGGTGCATCGTTGGTCCACGAATTCGTCAGAGCTTGGCGCGTTGATCGTCGAAACACTTTTACACGCCACGGGCCGGGATCACGTGAGATCGGCGCATCCTGCCCCCGGGGCCGTCTGCCGTGGGCAATCTGCAAAATTCTGGGGACAAGATAGTTCCGCGGGAGGCAGCGTACCACTCTTACTACGAGAGTGTCTGGAGCCCTCGGAGCCCGCTGACAGCTGTCATGGATATGTTTGTGAGACCCGGGTGTCATTAGCCGACGCCTCTTATGGTGTTGAGGGCAATAAACAAGCAGGTGACTGTCGCAATGATGCCGCCGCGTCTCACCAAACACACTCCACGTTCGGCGTCGAGCCAGCCGTGGTGCATCTCACCGATGACGTAGCGCTTGTCTGCCCTAATTCCCGCGCGCGAGTGGGTCCGAGGCCGCTGATGATGGAAAACTGTCGAATATCCATGCTCCGGTCGCTAAGAACTTTCATGGCCTAACCTGCATCTTGCCCCTAACCTACCTGCTCTGAGCTTAGATCGTCGATCGCAGAGATAGAGCGACTTAACCCAAGACGTTCGCGATCGACATCTGGAGGCGCATCAAGCCATTCAAGACGACGCATGGCAGTCATCTATCTCATCAACTAGACGGTGACGCGCTGCCCGTCGTTGTGTCTGCACAAGTGCAGCTAGGAGCCAGCCTGGTCGTTGCGCATCTCTGCCTGTGTCCATCCTTCTGTCGCTTTCCATCCACTCCAACGGTTGCATGCCTCGCACTTGACTGCCCTGGACGGTCCAGATTTCGTTCGCCCCTCCGCACGCCGCCACATCTCCCAGCAGCAGCAACTCTGCCAACTTCATGAGGCTGCTAGGCCCGCCCACCATCCCCCTCTGGCAAAAGAAACGAGACTCCTATTAGGGATTGTCCGTCTTTCGCCACCCTCACGCGGTCCCTGCATAACGCCAAGTGACCTTGCCTGCGGTTGAGAGCATCCTCGCAACTATCCACACCACACGTTAGCGACCACCAGACGCCCATGGACGCCTGAAGGCACAATCCCACCG